CTCAATAAATGTAGAAAAAGCATTTGGCAAAGTACAATACCCATTCATAATAACAAACCCTCAACAAAGTAGGGATTGAGGGAACATACCTCAATCTCATGAAGGCCATGTACAAAAAACCTACAGCTAATATCTTCCTCAATGGGGAGAAACTGAGAGCATTTCCTCTGCGGTCAAGAGAGGGATGTCCACTCTCACCAGTTATTTCACAGAGTATGGAAGTCCTAGTTGCAGTAATCAGATAACAAAAAGCAATAAAAGACATCCAAATTGGCAAGGAAGGAGTTAAGCTTTCACTATTTGCAAACAACATGCTACTCTATATAGAAAACCCAAAGGACTCCACCAAAAAAATTGTTAGAACTGATAACTGAATTCAGTAAAGCCACAGGATACGAAATCAACATATGGAAATCTGGTGCGTTTCTATACTCCAGTAATGAATCAGCAGAAAGAGAAGTCAAGGAGTCAATCCCATTTATAATTGCACCAAAAACCATAACATACCTGGGAATAAAGTTAACCAAAGAGGTAAAAAGTCTGTCCTCCGAAAATTATAAAACACCAACGAAAGAAAGTGAAGATGACACAAAGAAATGGAAAACATTCCATGCTCATGGATCAGAAGAACAAATATTGTTAAAATGTCTATACTACCCAGAGCAATCTACACATTTAATGCAATCCCTATCAAAATATCACCAGCATTTTTCCACAGAGCTAGAACAAACAGTCCTGAAATTTGTATGGAACCACAGAAGACCCTGAACAGCCAATGCAATGTTAAAAAAGAAGAGCAAAGCTGGAGGCAGCACTTCACGTTATATTATAAAACTTAAGACAGTATGGCACTAGCACAAAAATAGACATGTAGATCAGTGGAACAGAATAAAAATCCCAGAAATGAACCCACAACTATATGGTTAACTAATCTTTGATGAAGCAGGAAAGAATATCCAGTGGAAAAAAAGACAATCTCTTCGACAAATGGTGTTGGGAAAACTGGACCACTGTCTTACACCACACATCAAAAGAAATTCAAAATGGATGAAAAGCCTAAATGTGAGACAGGAAACCATCCAAATCCTAGAGGAGAATATAGGCAGTGGCTTCTTTGACATTGGCCACAGAAACTTGTTATTAGATATATCTGTGGAGGCAATGGAAACAAAAGCAAAAATGAACTGTTGGACCTTCATCAAGATAAAAGACTTCTGCACAGCAAAGGAAACAACAAAACCAAAAGGCATCCTTTAGAATGGGAGAAGATAATTTGCCAATGATATATCTGATAAAGTGTTAGTATCCAGAATCTATAAAGAACTTATAAAATTCAACACCCCAAAAACAAATAATTTAGTTTAAAAAGAGACAGAAGATATGAATAGATACTTTTCCAAAGAAGACATCCAGATAGCTGACAGACACATGAAAAGATGCTCAACATCACTCATCATCAGGGAAATACAAATCAAAACCACAATGAGATATCACCCCACACTTGTCAGAATGGCTACAGTTAACACGGGAAACAACAGATGTTGGCGGGGAGACAGAGAAAGGGGAAACCTTTTGCAAAGCTGGCAGGAAAGCAAACTGATACAGACACCCTGGAAAACAGTATGGAGTTTCCTCAGAAAGTTAGAAATAGAGCTACCCTACAATCTAGCAGTTGCACTACTAGGTATTTACCCAAAGGATACAAAAATACTGATTTGAAGGGATACATGCACCCTGATGTTTATAGCAACATTATCAACAGTAGCCATCGACTGATGAATGGATGAAGAAGATGTGATATGTATTACACACACACAGTGGAATACTACTCAGCCAGCAAAAAAGAATGAAATCTTGCCATTTGTGACGATATAGATGGAGCTAGAGAGTATTATGCTATGCAAAATAAGTCAGAGAAAGACAAATACTGTATGATTTCACTCGTGGAATTTAAGAAACAAAACAGATGAAATAGAGTAAAATTTTTAAAAAGAGAAACAAGCCAGAAAACAGGCTTAACCATAGAGAACAAACTGAGGGTTGCTGGAGAGGAGGTGGGCAGGGGATGGGGTAAATGGTTGATGGGAATTAAGGAAGGCACTTGTGATGAGCACTGGGTGTTGTATCTGAGTGATGAGTCACTAAATTCTACACCTGAAACTAATATTACATTGTGTTAACTAGAATTTAAATAACTTAAAAATACAGATTAATACTGTAAATGTATTTTCCTTATGATTTGGTTAATAACATTTTCTTTTCTCTAGCTCAGGAGATCGTAAGAATACAGTATATAATAGCTATAACATACAAAATATAAATTGACTGGTTTTTTGCTCTTCATAAGGCTTCAGGTCAACAGAAGGCTATTAATAGTAGTTTTGGAGGGAGTCAAAAGTTCATGTGGATTTTCAGCTGCATAAGGGTCAGCCCTCCAATGCCCTGAGTTGTTCAGAGGTCAACCATATTGTGAAAGGATCACCATAATAACTCTAGTTAACATCCAAGGAATCTTTTTGACATGGTGCTGAAACAACTGAATGTCTGTATTTAAAAACAAAAAAGCCCTTGGGGCACCTGGGTGGCTCAGTCAGCTAAGTGCCTGCCTTCAGCTCAGGTCATGATCTCAGGGTCTTAGGATGGAGACCCATGGTGGGGGGTGGGGGAGCTCCCCGCTCGTGCTCACTCTTTCAAATAAATAAATATTAAAAACAACAACAACAACAAGCCTTGATTCTGACGTTATCCTCTGTACAAAAATTAATTCAAAATAAATCGTGGATGTAAATGTAAAAACTAAACTACTCTGGAAACCCTGAGTTTGCAACCTTGGATTAGGTAAACATTCAGTGGATTGGACATAAAAAACATGAACCATAAAAGAAAAAAAAAACTGATACTGGACTTCATCAAAATTTAAGGATTTTTGAAAGATACCACTAAGAAAATGCAAAGCCACAGAATAAGAGAAATTATTTGCACCATACATATCTGACAAAGGATTGTATCTGGGATTTTTATAATACAATAAGGTGGAAAATCATATTCATATATACACAGACATAATATATACATCTGTATGAATATTCATACACGTAACACATATATATGAATAAATGAATGGATACCTATAGCAAGGGATTTGAACAGACATGTCCCAAGAGATGATGTGCAAATGATCAGGAGGCATGTGAAATGTTCAGTGTGGCTGCATTGGAGAAATGCAAATTAAGAGCACAGTGTTCTGTTACCATGGACCTACTGGAACAGCTAACACGAAAGAGACTGACAGTACCAAGTGTCGGTGAGACTTGGACGTGCTGGTACTCTCACACGCTGCTGGGAGTGTAACATGGCATAACCACTTCGGAAAATAGTTTGGTAATTTCATGCAGTTAAACTTAACACTTACCATACGGTCCAGCAATTAATTCCACTCTTAGGTATTTATTTACTCAAGGGAAATGAAACTATGTGTCTACAAAGAGTCTTGCACATGAATGTTGATAGCCATTTTATAATAGCCAAACAGTGGAAATAACCTAAAAGCCTGGCAATTCGGGTGGATAAATAAACTGTGGTCTATTGATACGACGGAATACTACTCATCCGTGAAGAGGAATGAACTGCTGACGCACACACGAATTTAGAATACTCCCAAACCATAGTACCGAGTAAAAGCAGCCATACACAAAGTGAGCATATTAGATACACAGTTCCATTCGTGTGCAATTCAAGAGTAAGCAGCCCGTGAGAGAAATTAGATCACTGTTGCCTTGGACCAAGGGTGAGGGTAGGGAATTGACTTCTGAGGGGGGACTTTATTTTATTGTATATAAATTATACCTCAGTAAAATTGATTTTTAAAAAGATAAACACTATAAGCAACTACTTGCCAGCAGTTTGGAAAACTTACATAAACTGGAAAAATTTTTAAATAATTCAATAAAACTGAACAAGAAGAAAAAGCTTCAAAGTTTCATTAGTACTAAAACTAAATTAAAGCAATGGTTTAAATTATTCCTACAAAAAAATTCAGAGCCAGATAGTTTTATAGGCACGTTACACCAAACTTTCAAGCAATAGGTGATTCCAGTTTATACATATTCTTCCAGGCAGTGGAACAAGAGGAAGAACTCTCCAGCTTATTCTGAGAGGACAACATAACCTTGAGAAATCCAGACAAACGCATTACAAAAAAGGAAATCAGAAGTTTATTTCACTCATGAATACAGCTGTAGAAGTTCTAAACTCATTATTAGTACACTAACTTCAGCTGTATCTATAATATAAGACAATACTTTACCTCCAAGCTGGGCTGCTTCTAGGCATGCAAGGGTGGTATAATTTGAGGAAATCTGTAGAAGTAATTGACTACACTAATAGAATAAAAGATTTTTAAAATGTGGTTATTTGAATAAATGCAATAAACTCATTTGATAAGTTTGTGTGATTTTCCAGTTACATTTTTTTTTTATTTTGATTAAGGGAATATTGTTAGCAAGATTGGGAAAGTCATGTAATAAGAGACTGAGAACTTTCCTATTTTGATAAGTGACCCGGAGACACTAATGGAGAGTCTGTTACTGTAGGTGGGAGGCAGAAAGCAAGGACACTGGATGGTTCTTGGTGAGGCCATTCACCAGATGTGTATCAATAAGGATAAGTTACTTATCCTCTTCCCCCACTTACCCTCCCCCCCGCCGTGTCCTTTTTCTCCATAAAATGGGCATGATAACACCTCCCTCGAACAGGGCTTAAAGAATTAACATACGTGAAGCACTTAGCACTGCACTGACTCTTGCTTTTCAAATGGTATCTTTTATTCTTTTAATCTTTTATATTATATATTAGTGTTATAATACATATATTTTACATATTGTTCTCTTTAAGGCCATCTGACTCTTAGCCAAAGGCTAAGTTAATGACTGTAGCCTTTCATAAAAGTGCTTTCCTTTTCTAATTACAATTGACACCTTTTGTCTATGTGTGTCTCAAAGGTGAGTGATTTCACGTGGAGCCATGATGGGACTCAAGCACTCATTTCATATCGAGACGGGTTTGTCCTGGTTGGTTCTGTCAGTGGACAAAGACACTGGTCATCCGAGATCAACTTGGAAAGTCAAATCACATGTGGCATATGGACTCCTGATGACCAACAGGTAAAGCCTCTTGAATACAGGTGTGTAATGTTAAAACCATCTGAGCTGAAGAGGAAGTGAATTGCATACAGTCACACAGGGAAGGGTTGGCGGAGGGGTAGGTGGCTCAGAAGCCTCTTTAAAGAATCATAAAAGTGCAGAACAATGACTGTGTCCAGGTAAAAATGGAAACAAAAACTTTAAGTGAACCATAGAGTGGAGAAATAGTATTTCCCATAAGTATGGTAAACACTGAGTTAGCATTTTATAGAAAATATTCATGCAAATATACTTTTTAATCTACATAAATAGTTGATAAATGGATAATGGCCATAATGTTTCACCAAGGAAGTTCAACTAGTCAGTATGTATATGGTGGAAAAGTATGCATTTTCAGGAGACAGTTGCAAAATAACATCGGATATGGTTTCACTTATTAGCAAAGAAAATAAAATGATACAGATGATATACTCATTAATGATAAGAGTTCAATCAAAGGATTCTTACTCATTGCTGGTAATAATGTGTATTGAACGTTTGGGGAAGCAGTTGGGCAGAATATGTCAAAAGTCTTAAAAAATTGTTGTTCACTTTGACCTGTTAATATACTTTAGGACTGTATCTAAAAGAAACAAAAGGGAAGAAAATAAAAGTTATAGTTATTAAAGCATTATTTAGGATAGTAAAAATTCAGCAGCAGCCTACTTGTCTAAAAATAGAGTGGTTAAGTAACTGTGGTATTACCATGGAAAGAATTATATAATAAGTAGTTCAGAAAGTTGTGAGTTTTGGTTATGAAGGCGGTATAATAATCTGGAAGAGCTCTTATGATATAATGTTGACCAAAAAAATCAGGAATATGAGACAGTGTATGTGGTATGATTACCATGTCATACTGTAACCAAAAGAAACCCATCCACAAGCTGGAAAGACCTGGAAGGAGACAAAATGCCACAAGTAGGTTGTTTTACAGTGATGAGCTTTTGGGTCATTTTCTAAAACCCAGTTTTAAAATATTCTTTATCTATTTTACTTTCATGATAAAATAATATATAGCCTAATAAAATTGCATGTTGATAATTCATTTTTTAAATAAAAAGATTGACCAGGTAAAACCTTTGTAAGTATGAAGCTTGTGTTTTCCAAGCACAACAAAATCCATAAAATGCCAGGACATTTCATAGCAGAGATTTTAGTTCATTATTGGTAAAAGCAAGCCATATAAAAGGAACCATAACTTTCATTTTTTAATCTTTTTTCTTTTAATTCCTTTTTTTTTTTTCCCAAATACAAGTGGTCAGTATTTTTTCTCTTCTCAAAATTACTACTATGAGAGCTGCAAAGAAACAGTTGCAACTCCCAAGTTTCTTCCACAGCTCCGAGGCTCCTAGGTACGCAGCGCATATGCGTGTTTTCAGGTGTTTACTGCCCCTAGAGTCACTCTGAGGAGTCAGCTGCAGCCCATTCAGTGGCCTTGCCCAGACACCTCTCTTTGCACGTTTCCTCCTCTGTGGTGGGGGGTGTGAATTATTTCCTGCTCTTTCCCCTGGGCTTTTGTAATCAGATGAGTGAACAGATGTGAAAGCACTTACACATGTGGAAGTGGAAGTCTTGGCTTCACATTCTTCCCTTGCCTCGAGGGATGGAACATGGGAGGCTCATGTCCCAGTGTCCTGATAAGCTATGCCTGCTGGACAAATATACTCGGAGAGTGACAGGCACAGGACCCAGACAAGCCAGGGGCACAGTGGGCAAGACTTGGCACCTGCCTTTGTGGTGCTGGGGGACCACAAACGTCCCTCACTGCATCCCGGCAACGTTGCTGGGGTAGCAGACACTGTGGGGTGGCGGGCACGAGGGAGTGCAGACGGGCTGCAGCTTTAAAGCCAGGTGGAGGCACTTGGACTTGGCTCTGTAGACCTGTCTGCAGGATCAGAGAGCGGCTTTGGCTGGTTGTTGGTCTCCTGGCCCACAAACTCTATCTAAAAGACTGCTTTTACTGGTTCTGTATTTGGGGCTAACAGGTAGGGTGTCATTCAGGGAAAATGCACTCACTGCCTTTAAGAAAGGTTGCAGACCCCTGAAGCAATGAGGGTCCTTCTAAGAATTTAACGTAGAGAAGGGATGGACAGGATACTCCCATCAGTCATACTTGAACCGAGACATGGAAAAATAATATTCCTTCCTCCTTGTCTGTCACTCTTTCATGCCTCTTACTTGGTTCAAAAATGATTAATGAGAAAAATGTATGAAGACAATTTGAAAGGTAATGCCCTGAGCCCTTTACAGTGGGAGCTGATGTTCAAAGCTGTACCTCCTCCTCTTCCCTTGTCCCGGAGGACCCTCTGCACTTAGCAGAGTAAAAAGTCATTCAGATGAAGCTGCCTCCTCCCGTCTTGAGATACTCCTGATCCTACAGGACTTCAGGTGTTTCCTAACTTTTTAAAATGTAAGCAGTACTATTTTACAAGTGAGTTTGAGGGTCTAGCTCTTTTCCTCCTTGTCATATATTTTCTTCAGTTTAGAATGGTGTTTTCTGTACCCTTTTGGGGATTATAGACTACTTTAAGTATCAGATGGAAATTGGGAACCCTTTTCCTGGAAAAATGTGCGCACATACATTCGTGTTTGTATCCATTACTTTGCACAGGATGCTGGGAGCCCGTAGGATTCCATGCACGAACACTCCTCCTTCAGATTCCCAATCTAGACAGTCTAGAGTGATACTTGGGGTCATCTTCTGCAACTTTCTGGTACGCGTATATTCAAACATTGCAGAAAAGCTGAAAGAATGTACCTGCCTTAAATTCACCAACTAATTATTTCCTGTATTTGTGCGTGCTCTCCTCCTCTTCCCCTTCCTGCCCCGCTTTCTCTTTCTCTTTCCCTTCATACACGCACACATTTTTGCAGGATTATTTTTGAAAATAAGTTGTAGACGTCGTGTGCATCACTCCAAAATATTTCAACATGTTTGTTGTAAGAATAAAATTTTTCTCCTACATTATCACCCCCAAGAAATTAGCACTGTTTGCTTGTAGCTCCCCAATTGTTACAAGACTGTGTTTTGTAAGCTTTTCTTTCTTTCTCTTTCTTTCTTTCTTTCTTTCTTTCTTTCTTTCTTTCTTTCTTTTTCTTTCTTTTTGTTATTTAGAACTGGGATCCAGGTTATGTACAGCAACTGTTTATTATATCTTCTGTCTAGAAAAATTAACTCTTTTTGTTTATTTTTTGACGACATAACCTTTCTCACAAGTGTAATGCAGTAACTTTGTAGAATAGTCCGCAGTCTAGGCTTGTACCATTGTTTATCCATAGTATCACTTAACTTCTACTAGCCTCTATTTTCTTTCATCTGGAAGTTGGGCTGAGATCAAGTTCGGACTAAACAGTTCAGGTGAGGATGGTTAATAGGTGATACCCTGTCATTCACATGGAGCCACGTTAAAAGGCGTATAATGTCTTGTGATCCCACTATGAGGAGAGCTGAGTCTGATGGAACTTTCGTAAAAGCAAAACTACTTTTCAAAACTTATTAATTTCATCTGTACATATAGCGAATTTTTTCACGTGATGTGTTTTAAGTCAGGTTAAAACTTGTCTTCCATTAAATTGCAAGAAGGGAATGTGACTGTCTTAGTGTCCTCGGGCTGCCATAGAGAATTCTACAGGCTGGAGAGCTTAGACATCAGGCGTTTATCCCTTACAGGTCTGGAGGATGGAAGCCCAGGATCAGGCATTGGCAGGCTTGGTTGTTCTTGAAGCCTCTCTCCTTGGCTGGCAGGTGGCCCCCATCTTCCTGTGTCCTCACATGGCTTTTCCTCTGTGTGCTCATCCCGGTATCTCTTCCTTTTCACATAAGGACAACAATTCTGTTGGTTTAGGGCCCTATCCTTTTGACCTCATCTAACCTTCATTACCTCTTTATAGGCTCTATCTCCAAGTACAGTCACATTAGGGCTTAGGGCTACAGTGTATAAATTTTGAGGGGGATACAAACATTTGGTCCATAACAGCCTTGTAAAAAATATGAGTCTTCAAAAAATATTTTGAAGAATAGAAAATTCGCAGAGAAGACACTTACATAAATTTAGCTTGATAAACTTGAGATGTATTTATAAATGGAACAGTCTTTGTAGGGCTTGGAAGGAAAAGCAAATGATATAAATAGAAAATGTCAGAGAAATAAATACAAATATGACTGGGGGAAAAATTTCTGTGGGTCCTAAGTTGATCAGGAGTCATGCAGCAGTGAAGCTTTTGCCATTTCTAGGAAACACCCAGCGCCACAGCACAGTATGTAGGGGGAGAATGCAGAGTTCCCTCTACGGTCTCCAGGGCTCTGGGAGAACACCTGCTTCTGGCTACAGGAAAGTGCTCTGAGACACCTACATTTACACATGACCATCTAGCGTTCTCCGAGTCTTACGTGAGCATCTCTTCCTCTGAGAGCCTTTGAACCAGAGAACATTGCTGAGAACGTGAGGTGTGTTTCCATCAGGATGTCAGAGAGGCCAGCGCATGAGTCACGTGTGTAGACACAGCTGCGACTCTCCTAGAACAGCCACTGGCTGGTGGACCTGTGTCCCGGGAAGATAGGACAGAAGGAAAAAGCCTCAGACTCACATCTGAGGAACTGAGGTCAGAAGAGGAAGAAGGAGCACACCTGCACCTGTGCGGGAAGAAAATCCCAGCCCCGCCCTTCTCGGGAGAACACCTTGCAAGAAGCACGCTCCCAGGAAACCCCTTCTGCCCTGGGCACAGGAGGTCTGCCAAGAACTGCTTCTCCGGCTGGCGGTTTGTCTCCTCTTCCCGGTGCCCGTCATCTACCACGCTCCTGGAGTGCGGCACGTGTGGAGTTTGGGTGCCTGAACCGCTTGGATTTATTTTATGGGGATCCGGAGGCGCCGAAGCTGTGTACACTTAAGGGAGGTAGCAACAGCCATTGTCACGCACAGCGCAGCCCCAGGTCAGATGCCATGCGGCTCCTCCGGCGCTCGCTTCGGCAGCACCTTCACTAC